TGCCATCAGGGCTTCTTAGACCAAACACCAAAACCAAACCCGCTGCCATAGAGTTGATTCCGGCCCAGTGCAACCCTACTGGACAGGATAGAACTGCCTCTGTGGGTTTCTGAGACTAACTCTACACGAGTAAAAAGCCTCGTCTTTCTCTGACAGAGCAGCTGTGGTTTTGAACTGCTGACCTGGCAGCCCAATGTGTAACCCAGGAAGCTAAAATAACCAAGGGTATGGCCACTTTCCAGCCAGTGAGTTTATTTCCGGTTGTACCTGCTCGTGCCCAACTGGAGATGGCCTGTGTCTTGTTCCTAAGGAGACACCCTGGAATAACTTCTTTCGAAGTCCCAGGTAAACAAACCAGTCAGAAAGCAGATCACAAAGCCCCAAGTTTTCCACCACTGGCACTTGCCCAGACAGCTCCTGAGAGCAATTTATAAATCCAGAGAGAGCCCAGAGCAGCAGATCCCCCAAGCAAGTAACTGACAGGGAAAGAAGAGCTGGAATCCCTGATTCTGCGGCCGCCTGCCATCACTTCTCTAGAGCTCTTCCCTTTCAGCGGGTGCTGTCTAGACAGCGCTGTCAGACCTGCCAGGCCGCCTCGGACAAGGTCCAGCTTGGTTTTGCCACATCACGGTGGCAATGGAGGCCGGGCTGTTTAAGATCCAGTCCCTGTGTTAGAAAGCTGCTGCAGGGACCCTGGGTGGATTGGATCCGCTGTCTCTACCAGCCTCCGGAAGCTCCTCCCCACGCAAAGTGCCCCCCGCCCCCACCCTCCCAGAGCTTGCCGTATTGCCCCTCGGCGTCTGTGATCAGGCTGCTAGAGCCCCTGGGAGCCTGCAGGCCAACCACCCAACATAGGAGCTGGGACTGGGCTGAAGTGAGTGTAAGGAACTGTTTGGGAAACCGCCCAGAGAGGGCCAAGCCCATCCCAGTGACCCTTGTCCCATCTCCCAGACACCCTCCTACCCGGCACGGTGGCTCAAAGCTCCCCATATTGATCCTAAAGGCAGGAACCTCTTCTGGTGGTTTGGGGGCTAGAGTTTATTAGGTACTTACTGATCCCCGTCAATTGTAGATCGGGCTGGAGTGCAGGGAAATGGCCGCCTGCATGAAGTGAAATTCAATAAAACGGCATTTTAAGTGAAAAATCAGTATAAACACCAGGCTTCTTTGCCATGGAAACAGAGGTTGCTTAGAAACTGCCTAACGGCGAGTTCTAAATTTTTTAAAGTCAAGTTATCATTTAAGCTACACAGCCCTACAGGTTATTGAGAGATAATCACACGCCTCGGGACACTGGGAAGCAGGCAGCGCTGCTGAGTGGCTCCCGCACGCTGGGGACCAGGTCATCTCTCGATAACTGTGCTCCCAAGAGCCACTGAGGTGGGCCCTGGGGAAGCAGGGTGCACTGTTTGTTTAGGAGTTAAATGATGGACAGCTATATGGGTGTCTTTATAGTGTTTCCCTTTGTATTGGGGGGAACAAAAAACAAAAAACACTAGCCATAGAACTGGCTCTTTGGGCTGTGCAACAGCTGTTCCTGCCACGCCTCAAGTCAAGATGTCTAGGAACACTTCCCAGACCATTGTCCCAGACTCTTAAAAGTAGAGGTCTTGCCTTTGTCTCTGGCCTTCAATTCTGCAAAACAGCCAGGATTTTCCCACCCGCCTTGGGTCCTTCTCTCTCCGGAGCTCCTTCCCAGCACAGGCTGTGCAGGCATGGGCCGCACAACCAGCTGGCTGTCAGCTTTGGAGCAAACCGGGCCACTGAGCAGGCGAGCCCTCTCGGGCCTCAGGCCCAGCTCCCAGGTGTCCAGCAAACAAGGCTCCAGGTTCCCAGTCTTCCGGCATTTGAAGTTCAGTGAGTCACAGGCAGTTCCCCAAGCCGGTGCACAGCCCCGCCTGCCAGCCATCTGGTTGCATGGCACTGCTTTGCTCCCCACCTCAGGCATGTGGAGGGCAAGGGACATTGCACGTGCCTCCTCCTGCAAATAATAAGCGGAATCAGAGCCCCATTGGCTGAGACTCGGGACCCCTGCCAAGTCTGTATGGAGGGAATAATGAGTGAGAGGAATGACAAACACATTGCCCCTGTCAGGAGGGTCCGAGGATTTTCCACGGTGGCAGTGCTGCTGAGCTGGTAGTAATAATTAGTCCTTACACACACATACTCTGGAAAGAACGGTGTGTCCATTAGCCAGCTGGGTCGGGGTGGGGGGAGGTGTTCCTGCACCTCATCTCCCGAGAGTCTCGGGGAGAGCCTGTGAGGAGGCTGGCACACTGTGTTGGACTTCCTCCAAAGAAAGGGGAGGCCTGCCCAGGGAGGGGGACACCGCCATTTGCTCCTAGCCTCTCAGGCAGGAGCCAGTGTGTACTGGCCGCTGCTCCCGGAGGAAGCCCCCCGTTTCTGGGCTAAGAAATGAGCCTCCCAGATAATTCTTGCTGAAAGAAGGCGAGCTTTGCACGCAGGTTCTTACCGTTGTTTCTCTGTGGCAGCGTCTTAGCAAGGAAAGTCCACGGACAGAGTGGGCTTCTCTCCCCACCAGCTAGTTAACAAGGGGCTCCCTAAAGGAGCCCTGCCAGGCACCCGTGCCCTGGGAGCCGAGCAGAACTCCAGCGGAACTGGGCTGTGCATGACACAAGCCAGTCGGGCGTTACCAAGATTCAAAAATGCCTGGAAGCCGTGAGTACGCTGGATCATAGGGTGAAAAATGGTTGGCGTTCTGGAAGGGGGAGGGAGGGGAGGGAATCAAATGAAACCATTTGCATTCTAGCAGTCTTTGGCACCAGGGAAACTGTCAGCCGTGTCACGTGTAAACAGAAAGCTGCTTCCCCGTGTTGGGTGCGTTTTTTTCCCCTAATTTCCCTTGCCACTCTAATTATCAAAGATATTTTTGTTTTTAAACAAAAATCATCTCCCACGCAGGCCGCATCTCCATGCTGCGGTGAAGTGGAAAGGATGAATTAGAATATTCTAATCACTTCTCCAGCAGCCACCGCTGAGGTTATAAACACTAGATTATCCTAAGCAAAGGAAACTTAAATTGTTTAGGCGAAAAACAGGCCAGAACATTTTTTAGCGTGCCCCACCGCCTGCCTCTTTAGCATATGCCTATTAAACACACGAGAGAAAGCGGAAAGTGCTCTCACAGAGGTAAAGTGTGACACACACACACACACACTACACACATCCCAGAGAGCACAGGTTTTTCAGATTAATGGGGCAGGGGGGAGGGGAGACTAATGTATTTTTCTTTTTAGCACGGATTTAAGTCCTTACTTGTAGCCCAATAATATGGGCAAGGCCCCTAGGAAAAACTGTTAAGAATGAAGCATGGTCCACCCAGACACACGGCCATCGAGTCGATGCAGACACATCGTGACCCTGTAGGGCAGGGTAGATCTGCCCTGTGAGTTCCCCAGACAGTAACTCTTTACAGGAGTAAAAGCCCCATCTTTCTCCTCCCGCCCCCCAGAAGTTGGTTTTGACCTTGTGGATCACAGCTGGACTGTCACCACTAACCCAGCTGGGTGCCTTGCACATCCTTGGATACTTTAAAGGCCATCCGTCAGCAGAGATCACACATTTCAGCCCTCCGCCACACCCGGGGTGAGCAGCACCCACATTTAGCTGCAAGGAATGGAAGCCAAAGGTGATGAGCCCTATCCTTCAGCCTCGTAGCAGGCAGTCCCTGGGCTCACATGAGCCCTGTGGGCGGGGTGCGGGTGGCTTCCTCTGATTCTTTGATATCATGAGACTGTTCCAGGGAGGGGCGTCAGCGTGGACCGAAGTCACTGCGTCCTCATGGGAAACGGGCTGTACAAGCAGCCAGCACTGACTGAGTGCTTCCCAGGCACTGCGCCTCACCAAGTCCAGCGCTCACCTGCTCCACCCATCAGGCACTCACGCTCTGGGTAGACAGGAATCAAGATCTGCCAGAACGGTACCCTGAGAGAGAGAGACACGGGCCCGCTCAGCCAGGCACTCAGGAGCAGAGCACTCGGCCCCTCATCAAAGGTGGTCCATTTGGACCCATGGGCTCTCCTGGGTGGAAAGGAGTGGCGTCTGCTTCCATGAAGATTCACAGCTTGAAAACCCACAGGGGCAGTTCTACTCTGTCCCATAGGGCCGCTGTCAGTCGCGTGGATTTGTTGGTCATGGGTTAACCTCAATGTGATGGTCAGAAGGCAGCCTCCCTGAGGAAATGCGTGGGATGCAGGGTGGCAGAGAGGGACTAGCCCACAGGAGGATGCCAAATGCCAAACGATCTCTCAGGTAGGTATAGGGCATTAGCAGCTGGGCTGCCCAAGACAGTGGCCCTGGGCATGTGGCTTGATCATTCAGACACGGGCTACGAGGAGAAAACAAGGTTGACCCTAAGTTCAAGCCAAGGTTAAGACCCTCACTCAATGGAGACGTGGCGACCGGACCCGGTTAACTCTGTGGCTTCCAGAGGTCACGGGGGCAGGACTCGGTCTTCTCCCTGCTGCCAGGGGCTGCCAGTTCCCTCAGATCTGACCCGTCTGCCAAGGACCACATGTCCAGACCAAATGGGGGAACTGGAGGACCCAGAGGCAGGAGCTAGAGGTGCAGACGCTGGGAGACTCGCCCCTGGTCCCAAGCAGCCCGGCCAGCAGCAACCTTGCGCTGGCCGGGCCTGTCAGGAAGAGCTGACCTTGACAATTATCTTCTTTTCGAAAATGACTCACACCCAGAAATCAGCCTGTCTCTTTGCCAAGAGCTTGTTTGATGTCAACGTCGCTCAGTTCAGACATTACTTTTCTTCTCTGTGTCAGTGGACATGAAACTGTTTACCCCTCTTTCTGCCGGGTGTCGGAACCATCCTAACACCCCGCCCTGGACTCTTCAGTGGCTCAGTTCTCCTCCCAGAAGCCCTCTGTTACTATTAGCCGTGTCTTCCAACAGCCCAGGACATCCCCTCTGGGTGAAGCCAGCCCTCCCTCACGCCCCCCACCCTCTCACTCTTTTCCGTTTCTCTGTAGCGTGTTCCTCCATCTGATGAAGGTAGACCCAGACTCCACCTGGCTGGTCCTGAGGGAGCGTCACTGCCCGGAGCTGCTTACGCCTCCCCACTCCAGTCTCTGCCCTGTGCGGCTGCTGGGGGCGCCGGGCCAGCAGAGCCCATTCACCGCCAATGTGCTGCACCTGCTCCAGGAGCTGCCATGAAGCCTCTCCCCCAGGAACCCCTCTGGGGTCAGGCTGACCCCACCCCCACCGACTGCAAAGGGGATCAGACAGCCCATTGATTTCTAAATTGACCTATCACACAACTGCCTAGAAGTCGGATTGAAAGAAAGTGCTGGCCTGTTATTTACATTCCACACCTGTGTCTTCAAGTTGCAGTCAGGCAGCTCCTGAGCTGACCATCTCACCCACACCACACCTCCCAGCTTAAGGACAGTGGCCGTCAGCTCCCTTGGACCCCATCTGCGGGTCACAGCTCTGAGGGTGAGGAACACTGCCCTGTCATTACAAACACACAGTGGGTCCCCCCACACACACAC